GCGAGGGCGTGGGCCGCGCGCTGATAGCCCAGAGATCCGGCGCGCCGCCGTCCGACCGCCGGTACGCCGTGTTCGCTGGTGCTTGCACGCGTCGCTGGCCGCCGTCGCCGCGTCCGCCGCGTTCGGTTGCGCCGGCCACCGGAAGGGCCCCAACCCGCTGCTGGTCAATCCGTCTTCCGACCTGTCGTCGTGCATGTCCGAGATATCCACCGGTCCAGGCTCGGCGCGGGCATACGGTCACAGTCGCTGACTGCATGACAGCGGACGGACTGACGGCAGACGTGCACCACTTCGGGCCACCGCACCGGAGGATATCACTGACCGATTGCGTGCTGGTCCAACAGACCTGCTCAGGTTGCCGCTCGGCGGAACGCGCCGCCGGTCACGTTCCTCAACGGCGTCCCATGTGATCGATGATGCAACACCAGAACGGCACCGCCGCCGCCGAGGAACGATGACGCTCCGCAGGATGGATCGAGACCAAGCGTCATCGACTCCGCACGCTTGACGAGCAGCGATCGGGACAGTTACAGCTCGCCCACCCAGACTGTGACTGGCCGCGGCAGGGGCGGCGGCCCGACTCGGTATCAATTGCCGTCCACCGCGGCGTCAGTTAACCGGGTCATGTCCACCAACAGCCGGGCTCCCGTGCCTGCGCAACGTGCGTCGCTGGTCCAGGATCCGCATCGGTACAGTGGTGGCCAGTCGTGTCCATGTGCTACTTTGTCGACCCATTTGCCGGTGCTGGAGGTTCAAACCGTTTTGAGTATATATTTGGGTCGTCTCCGAAGCAATTATGTAGTATTTTATTATTGTGAGATGATGTGAGGCGCCGGCGCGGTCGCGCATATGAGTAAATGCATTGGCGGTTTTTATCTCTCGTGAACTACTTTGCAGAAGTAATCTACGACGTATATTAATTTACTTGGGATTTGTTTTACCGCGCTGTTACAAAATCAATCTTATTACACACAAATATAATATTATCTATTTTTATTTTAGATGTTTTTGCATGATAGGTATAATATTATGTATTCTCAAATGATTAATTTGTTCTTAAAATTTTTAAGATTTTGTATTATTTACTTTTGGTTTTTAGACGATTTAGTAGCAGCGGTTATAGCTTTTAGGTTTGGTTTACTTTTGTTTTTGCGGTAAAAGTTGATTGGGAAAACATATTAGTTTTTTATTTTTTTAATATAACAATACAATATACTGAAAATAATGTAGGTATATTTTTTTCAGATTTTAAAAATCATAATTAGAAATTTCAAACCTATAATTATTTGTATTAGCAGACCTAATAAATGGTCTTAATGTCCTAATAAAAATCTTATGAATATTTTATAATATTTAAAATACATGTTCACCATTTTTTATGCTTTTTTTTTTAGATATCAACATAAAAATATAATTTTATTGTGTTTTGAGTAGAGTGATGAAGTGCAATAAAATATTTTATTGTAACTAATATATATTTAAAAAATTCTACACACATATTACTACGATCAGTACCCTTAAAGATATATGTATTATAATATCCAGGGCGCACCTCTATATTCGCATTTAACAACTATATCGGCTTTGATTAAAATAATGTCATTACATTGCAGGTGTCTAGTATGCGCAATCCGTAGATGACCATATTATTATAAAATAATTAAACAATACTGAGTGGAAACAATTCATTAAATTTATACCAGGTTACATATATAAATCACTAATTTAATGGTTAATTAAAATGTATTAAACCAATCATTGGTTACTAAACCATGTTTAAAAGATCATTATTTAACTCATAAATAATTCATTAAATATTTAATAATTCTTTATGCGACTTGATATTGAAATTTTACTTTATGTGTTTGTTTTATTAAGAATTTAGTTGGATTTTTTTTAAACTTGTTGGTAGGTTAATAATACATAATACTTATTTAAATACTTTTTCGCCAAGACTTTCTTATAATTCTTGTAAGATTACTTATATAGTACTATTTTTATTAAATTTCACATATTTTTAAATCGAAAGCATAAACTGTATCGCATTTGAATCGATAAAAAAAAAAAAAATAATAAGAAGTCATTAATTTAAAACACCTATAAACAGCTTAAAAAAGAGTCAAAATATTTTGAAAATTTCCTCATTTATAATAAACATTAGTACAAATATTCAGTAAAAATGTAAATTCTGTAATTATCCATTTTTGAGTTAAAAAAAAAAAAAAAAATATCGAGTTTTTAATATTAGAATGCAAACCCAATAATGAATAAAGAAAATAGCATAACATACTAAATAATCTCTACGAAATAATCGAAACCGATTGTAAACAGTAAAATACATTTAAAACAAATAAATACAATAGTTATAATATGCCTTATTTTTCCAATATACTGTTAGTGTGACTTTATTAAACAAAAATATTTTTTTTAAGCTAATTATTTGAAAAAATTGATTTTGTCAAAAACGGAATTAACGTAAAACATCATAAATTTTACTCTTAACTTTATAAAGTGTCAATTAGACTCAACGTTTTACAAAATACCACCCTTAAAAGTTTAAACTGAAAATCCAAGTATTTTTACTGCTCCAAAAGAAAAAAGTGATGATAGACAGAAAAAATATACATCATAGTAAAATCAATATATTCATCGCTCCGTTCAGAGTGGTACTAAAATATATTTGTATATTTTATTAAGTTATATGCGTGTAGAAAATGTACAATAAACATCGTCTAGCTAAGTGGTACATAATAATATATTGATGGTATGTATAATAAATAATGTAGTCTTTAGATATTTTTATTGTTTTTTTACATTAGAATTTGGTTAAAAATTACAATCCACTTTGAAAATTATTTAATAAGCGAACATGAAAAAACAGTCTTATAGTTATAAAAATAATAAAAACCTACTGAACCGTCTAAACTTGGATCTTTTCAGAAATTTTGATGGTAGCATACCTTTATAATAATATTATAATAGCTAGAACAGGAAGTTTATAAAATTAACAAAAAAAAAAAAAACGTTTACAATATTCTCGTCACGTACTCCACGTGCACGTTTTTCGCGATCGATATGTATAGGTTACTAACTTTCTTTCTATTTTTCTGATATAGGAACTGCGTGTTGTATTCTTATTTTGTCGTTTGTATAATATAATATAATAAACGCGTAAAAAATATAATTTCTAAAAAACGTACACTATACGCATGGTGGTATCTTCCACTATAACTCTAAGTACTTTGTCACGTTGAGGCCCATTATTATCGTAGTATTGTAATTGGTATCATTTCAGCCATTTACGTTTTCTAAACGTTTGCCATATTATAAAGAGTATTATGTAGTGTTATATAGAGAATATAACTGAAAGGGTTTTTTTTTTAAATTAATTGTTGAAAAAATTCACATGATAAAATGTTACCTCGAATTAAATCGCGTTTATTTATCTCGTAAAAATTTAGTATTTAAAGTTTTTTTTTTATGGTTTAACTGGTTTAGGCTATTGATTCGCCCACGTGTTTAGTTTATTTTTCAAGTCATCAATAAAATATAGGAACACATTTTAACTCAATAAAAAACAACACATTTTTACGTGCTCCAATTGATCGTAAACCTCAAGCGTCGTATTGCTTATTCCAATGTGGTTCGCCACGAAGTTTAAAATCTACTAGAGAAAACTGAGTTTGTAGGATCACGCAAAACGCAACTCTCCACTCCCAATATAACTAACATGTAATAATACTCTTTTCATTCTATTTACTGCCAATGTCACGTTCGATTTGGATTTAAATTCGACTGTAACATTTAAATTATTTCTAGAATTCAAATCACGTTTTTACTATTTTATGCTTTACACAAAATATTTATACCGATTGAGTGTTTTGGTCATCTTCACAATAATTTTTATTATAATATTGACTATTGGTATTTAGTTATTTAATATTTATTAATACTTTTGTCTTTTTCATTAATAATATTGCTAATCATCATTTCACACAATACATTACAAATAGGTATTATTTTGATTAGTAATATTTATTTTATATTCGTTCAATATAGTCTCTTCTCGCTGTTCTATTATTTAAATATTATAAAGAATATCGAAAAGTAAATATAGAGAAACTAACAAGTTAGTTATTTTAGAACTGCGCAGTTGAAGTGTATGTAATGTGTGGGGAGCTCTACTGATTTTAGAATAATTAAAATAATCAGTTGAAAAAATACTATTAGTCTTTTACGACATCAACCACGTATTTATAACTATAAATTATATTTACATCGAGTCTCTTTCATTACATATACCTATTAGAAAAAAACAAATTCGTCATAATATTTTGTTTATCATGGTATGCGTGGTAGAAGAGTCGTATAAATGATATAAATTCTTTATTAATCAAGATTAAATAGTCAATTTTTTTTTTTTTTTTTTAAATACCTATACATATTGCATATATATATATATAAATCAATATATGTTTAGTAACGTATAGTAGCGCTATAAGATGTAGAAATTGTTGAGACAAAAGATAAAACAAAATCTAAAATAATGTTCACCACCCACTGTCCTACACGTCAGTCTGAAACGCGGTTGACCGCTTTCAAAATATATTAATCATATTAAAATATAAAAATAAATTAAATGTAAATCCGTTAAATTGTGTCATATCGACAATGGTTACCTGTAAATTATTACACCTATTTGTTTTAGGTACACGGATTTTGCTCGACAGTTGACTGCAGTGTATATAGGTAGACAGGACAGAAATCATGCCGGAAAATTATGGGTTTGACGCTACGGAATTAAATATTTGAGGATTACTAGATAATTTATATTTCATGAAAAATGGAAAATATTTTCTGTTCAATACTTGCATACCAAACATAATGATATGGCAAGCCATAAGATACATTATTTTATATAACTGCAGTGTAATCGTGTAATGAACATTAATTATGTAACATGGAGAATTAAATTGCATTTTTCACGGGATCCGTGAACAGACCTAATTTTTCCGGCTGTTCTACCTGATCTAGTGGTACTAAAGGTACTATACAATCGCTAATACATTTCATGATATTTGTCTGAAATAGAATATATACATTTTTTTTTATAGAATTTTCATTTTATAAACGAATAATAAATATACAGTGTCGACGACTTTCAACTATAAAAGTATGCGATGACGTACCTATGGTTGTGTTTCAGTGTTTGTAATATATATTGTTATGTAAATGGATCGAATAATTATCATTTTTAAGAGGATAGTGTGATATGCGTATTATAAAATGAATAATTTATAGTCAGTGACTATGTACAATGCTTATACTATATCCAATTATATAATATATTTATACATTTATGATTAATCATAGATACTGGATAAACGTAAAAGTTTCATTTCGTTATTTATTTTATTTTAATTTCAAATGGTTGCTTTTTAAGTACCTATCTAATGTGATTTTTTCTTATTCAGTCATCTGGTATGCTAATGATGCGAGAATTTGATAGTATAATTTTCGTTTAAATTCCAAGGAACATAATACTTACACATAGGTACACAATTCTATCGGTCACCACGCCGAGCCGTTTCACCGCCCACGTGTCTATTCGTATACAATAATAATATAGGTACAATATGTTTTTGACCGTTCGCGCCCACGAGTTAAACGTCATAATATTTGAAATATTGGAAGGAAAAAGCTATCATTGTTCACCATCAACATAAGGGTTCGCGTTATTATAATGGGTGTTCCATTATAAAAAAAAAAAAAAAAAATCGTTTTCATCTTGTTAAGTGCCTATCTATATTAAGTGGAATCTGTTCAATAATTTTATACCATAATAATTGCTGGTTACCAATAAAATGTGCTAAGGTCGCCAAACTTAGTTTTTTATCAAGGAACAAAATATTGGAAATAATAAATTTATATTAATATTTCTATAGTGAAATTTAGTTTACTGGTAAATATTAATACAATATTAGAAAAAATGTCAGACTCCTACACTGAGATACAATTTCTTATCGGAGAGCAAATGTATACTCATTTAAAGTTATGAAAAAAGCAAAAATTAGAAGCTAAAAAAATAATAACATAAAAAAATATTATTAACAAATAAGGTAAAATATAA